TTTGTCCTGCGGCATCAATTAGGGAAAGAGGAAGGAGGAGATTGGGAAAGTTGAGAGACGCTCTTAGGTATACACAGGTCTGCTGCGCCTGGTCGGCCGGCCTCCTCGTCATAGGAGGGCCCCGCACCCAGTGGTTTTTGGTATTTTTCTCTGTAGCTACACACCCGCAAATGACTACTGCTTTGTTGGCTGGAGAATGGAGATAACGGTACCTCTTAGTGTGTACTCGAATGAAGACCTGTGGGGTAAAACTGCTGGAACGAAGTCGTGAATGAGGCTTAAGAGGGAGTATATTACCTGAGGCCTAGATATTCCCGGCTTGTAGGCAGAAGGGACCTACATGTCCTCAGATAGTCATAGACTCATTAGGACAATATACATACTAATATAATTTCATATAGCGTAATCATTTACTATCTTGTTTGCAACAGTAAGAGTTTTCTGTTAGGGTTCGAGAGATCAACAAAAAACTAACACCACAATTCACAAATTCGGAAGAGCAAGAATATCGGTCTTAGAAAGCAAAAGTTGCTTAGGTGGCACGCGTGGCGTCAGCTTAGTCTTCTTCACAGAGCGATGTGGCTGGCAACAGCTGCATGCATTTTTTATCAGATTAGGTAATTACTGATACGGAATCTTCTTCCCTATCAAATAGACGAGGCGGATGACGCAGGGGTTTTGAGATGTTTCTCTGAGTAGGTATCCACGGATGACGGATGACTTGGGTTGAAGAAAAACCACCATAACTTTGCAGTAGTACGTACAAATGAAATCCGAGGCATGAGTGTCGTAGTGTATGGTCTGTGAGGTTTACATTGGATTAGAGTGGCAGCAGTGTGTGGTAATATTCAGTGCACAGACACCCTAATCTTGTACATATGAAAATTCTTCACCTCATTGGATCAATATAGTCTTTTATACACAACAATCAGACCACAAGGTTATCACGTCCTGCGCATACTGCTCATCAGGACCTTCAGCCCATTGACTAACGTAAGCTCATAATCACAACAATGAGTGCTCTTCCTTTACATTGAGTCATCTGTTAAGTAGTTTTCTCCGATATCACGTCCTAGCTAGACAGCCGCTTCAACAATTCAAAATTGTGGCAAAAAAATTGACGTGGACAGGCTCAGGCTTATCGCGGGCCCTTCCTTGTACGACTTTGCGTATTTCAAAAACTGCATAGGTCGGCTCGCGTAAACGCTGGGGCTCCAGGCTTCGTACTCATCAATGAATCATTCGTAGACATCCCTAGCCTGTAGGCTGATAGGGCCCGCATCTGCTTCGTAGTCTTATTCTGAAAAAAAGGACAATAGAATAGCTAAAGAGAAAAAATGAATCGTTCAACGATAGTTTGTAAAAGTTACCACAAGCAAAGACTTCGACGGGAAATTTTACTATCTCGCTTATAAATTGGTACAGGTATTATTGCCATAGGGCCATAGCTTGGCTTATATAATAATCGTGTGACCTTGATTAGTCAGGTCATGATCGTATCTATCTGGCTTCTGGTTGGTCAGCTTATGATCACAATGATTTCACGCTGGTGTCTCGTGGCTCCGCCCAATCAACAGTATAATGTGAAAAGTGCTTGAGACTAAAAAATCCGTGGATTGATTTTTATGATACAGGATCGCCAGTTTATTTAAATATTCCCCCGCACCACGTGAGCCAATCAACAGCGCACAATGTGCACGGTCGGGTTTCCATCAAATGGGATCTACATCTAGAATACAAAGACAATCATTTATCATTACAAATTCTGACCCCCCTCCGAATACGGGTATGATTGCTAACTGAGTGCGTGGCCACAAGTCACGTGATACATGACATGCGTCTCTTGACTAGATGAGCTTGGCAATGGTCCACGGGTACAATGACAAATACATGATAATTACTCCCCCTACCTAGGCGACGCGGCGACTCAGCCAGTTTTGCTAGAAAAAGCTTGCGAGAGAAGTGTCGATGTAGAGGTCGAGAGAGGAAAAAAGGAAAGCTGAGTCGAATTCGTCATTGTGGAGGGTGAGGCAAAAGAGAAATCTACATGGGCACATTATATGGGTATTTATCTCTTGGTGACTGGGTAACTAAAGGGTTTGGAGTTTCACTTGGTTGGGTACTCATAGAAGGCGATCTACTGTTCAGCATGAGCAAAGATAACTCACAGTAGTGTATGCAATTGAAGTTCAGAGTGAGAGTATTTCGGAGATCAATAGAGTCATTCGGCACTTATTTACAGCATCGATTATGTGTCTTAACTATTCACGAACCGGGTGGTCAGGTCTCAATAAAACAGGCCGACGGGCAGACACTTGCCTGTGGTGTCTTCTAAGGATCTGGCAGTGAAATATCCACCCAGAGCCAAGATTCAGCGATCCACCGACGCCCGAATCTTTTTTCCTGACTGACATTTTTGTCAGGAGGAGCGGCGCTGGGCTGACTTTGGTCGAAACTCTCGGATCGCAGTAATTTCAAACCATACAAATTACAAAGAAAATATTCAAGATCGTTCAAGCTCAATCTCGCAGTCCCAGTCGACATTACAAAATTTCCAGCCCCATTCCAATGCCGAAAAAGCCATGTCACGATCCGAAAGCCCTTCATCCAACAACGTTGTGGATGAGAAATTGCCGGAGGACGCCAAACTCGGGTTGTTGTGTAGGGATTTTCGATGAAGAAACCAAAGCCTGCGAGGGAAGGTGGGAGAGATTCTGTGTCGTGATCAAAGTAGTTGGAATGAAGACTTCAGAATTGGGAGGCTATCACCTCGGTGGTTGACGAAGGCAACTATTCTTTGACAATTTTTACAACTTTGTGAGTCTCTGGGCGAGTGCAGACGATACTATAAACGCCGCCATGGTTGGATGGTGCAGTGGTACATTGTCTTGGTCAATCTGCCAAGAAAAGTCTGGATAGCTTAGACACACGTCCCACTCGAGACAGTAGATCGCTGGTTCAAACCCGGCAAAACACAACCACTTTCTCGCGGTGCTTGTATGCATGGATGACGAAGGCATGCTTGGATAACCAAAGGTTTTGAAACGTCCCTTTGGTGGCTACTTACGGAGGAGGGTCGACTGTTTGTGTACGCAAGCATACCTCGTAGTGGTATTTGCGAATGAAATCCAGAGTATGAGTGTCTCTAACATCAAAACAGTCGTTCAACATGTATACATAGCACCGGTCACGTGTCATAGCTAGATAGCTGCATATACATCAAATGATTTAAAAAAAAGAGGTTCTGAGCATTGACTGGGCGTTAAGTGGCTCGAGATGTTGTATGGAGGCGTGGGGTTGTGCTGCCATATCCACAGCGGTCTCGCGTTACGGAAGCATCGGTGGCATATCTATTGCTTCTCGCTTGACACCTCACACACCATGTATGTAATGTCCAGATAGAGCTTTGCTTTTAAGCTTCAATGCCCTTTCAACTGTGGGCTCTCACTGGCTTGAATTTGCGTCTCATAACAGCCGGGCTCACTTGGGAGCTTTGGTACTCCAGGTAGTTTATTTACACTGAGCTTACCGGCACCCGAGCCTCATAGCCGAATGTTGTGCGCCGGCACGCTGTAGAGTAATTATAGATAAAAAATAGCCTGAGCTGTTGACATCTACACAGACCTAACCAGACAGGTTAGAGCCCGCACCTTTCTATCCTGCGCTCAGATATTGAATCGTGCGCTAATTTCGGCCTCTCAACCTAATCCATGATTCACGGATTAAATTAAACAAACGAACCACTTGATAATAGATTTTAATGCCAATTCAAACATTTCAAGCCTCTTCTATCATACTGCTACAACGACCAGATACGGCGCTCGTCACATTTCAGAGAATACGATAGATGTTGCTGCGTTACCGATCTTCTGGGGATGTACAGGCCATGACCCCCAGTGTCTATTGGAACATATTAAACAAATCAGATATTATTATCTGTAAATTTGGATGCTTCTTTTAAATAGTATTTACAGTCGTATTAGCGAAAAATCTGTAGAGACAAAAGTTCAATCCAAACCAAATTGGGGACACAGCCCACGTGAATGATCTATGGTGGCCTGAGGAAGTAACTCACCTTATGGTCCGGGCTCGATATAACGAATAACAGCGGAATTGCGGGGACAAAATCAACCACAGAAATTCTAGTGAGGATGTCGTATACAAATACCACCCTCTATCAAACCCTGTTCATGCCTAGCGTCACACTATCCATACTGAGTCACAGCTCAATCACGCTCCTTGCGTGCTTAACCTTTTTTCCTCGCGAATGTGTGAGAGTATACGCTATCTCAGAGCGTGTATAGTCTCAAGGCATCAGTTCGAGCATCGTGTAGCTCGGGTCGGCGTAAGCAAAGGCCCATGGGAAATTGCCATTAGGGCTAGACCTCTAGACAACGCGGGGCGGCTTGTGATGTGCGTCTTGTATTGTGGGCTCACGAAATCTTATATTTTTGATCGTATATTTGAGAGCTCCACGTCGCACCCGCAGCCAAGGCCGAGTGGTGCGGTGATATGCAGTTGCGGCCAGTCTCCGAAGAATATTCTGGGGAGCCTGCTAACCTACCCCACCCGAGACGAAGTTTTACCGGGTCGAAAGGGACAGACTAAATTTGATGAATTTTCAAAGGTCTTCAGAATCTTTGTAGCAAGCTCCGAGAAAAATAGCTGCGCGTGTGTGCTATCTTCTCACATGGCCTCGAATAGTAAATCAGACTTTATATTAGACGCCCAGAACAATGACCCCGCAATTGTCTAGCCAGATTGAGCTCGGAGGGTGACATTATGCATGGCACAGGAAAAAAATACGGCGCCTCTGGGAGCTGCGAATCATACTTGACTGGGTCATAACCAATAGAATATAATAGAATAGAATTAAATGGGGTCATAACCAATGTCTGTTAGAATTTAGAATAATTGGGGCTATCAAGTGGGCCACCATCTTGATACACACGTGACTGTAAATTCTGTACTTGGTTCCACTTCGGTGGTTACTTGGATCAATGCGCTCTACAACCTCAATAACTGAGGGGTCATTATTTCCTTCATTTCTGCAACTTTGCACGGTTTTGCGATACCAAAAACTTGACCTATGGCCAAATTAAACCCCCAGCCTAGAAATGCAAATACCACCCAAAAGGTCTAGGTCAGGGAAAGCGCCGGAGTTTGCCAATCTGCATTCTCCTCATCGAGCGCCTTTGGCTTTTGGTTGAACCTTAAATATCACCCAACAAGCCCGTCCATCGCTCAAGATTCGAATACGAGCGATGGGATGGATGGCTATCCTGTTAGTCACATACTTCTCGTCTTAACCCTACCCACAGGGCCCGAGAACCTCAATGGTAAAATGAATAGAGCGACCTTATTTTGTGGGTTAAACTCCGCTTTAATCCTGGCTGGCATCTTTGCGAAGCTGCGGCATCGTGAAAGAGATTCGGATGAGAGCTGCACTGTAACGATTTGCTACTGGGATGATAATCCACTGTAAGCTTTCAACTATCGCGAGATCGACTCTAGGGTTGGTGGGCCATGCCTGGGTATCTATAGAGCCACTGCAAGCTTTCCTTATCCTGGCAGTGGGCGTTTATTCGTGGTGGCCGATAGATCACCATTTTTAATTGCATGTAAAGATTTCTCCTGGAAATAGCCTCTTTAAAAAGTGACATTGACAGCTTCAACGGTCGTGCTTCTACGCGCGGAGTAGCGGGTAGATTTGACGACAACAGCGCGGGCCTGCTCGTTCTTATCTTGAACCCTTGTAAGCATGAATCGGGAAGGGACCTAATGAGGAACCTCCCGAGGATTGTGCGTAACTTGTTCCAAGCCGAACCAACATTGTTCCGCACGGAACCCCCATTCCTCTCATCTACATCAACTCGGTCTATCAAATCTATCAATTGTGCCAAACTATAGCTTCATAGGCAATGAGCTTACGCATGAGTCGCGCAAAGTTTTGTCCATTATCACGTACCGTCTCTAGTCCAGTAGGTCTCATCTATCTTCTAGTCCTCGCCAAGATCACTTTGCTTGTAACTTTTAGCCAGCAGGCCATCATCTTCAGATACCACGGGAATTTATAGCCATTTTTCGTATCTTGGTTCAGCTCGACTGGTCACAGTGGAAGTGGTGTTGTTTCTCCATACCTCTTTACTGCCCTTTATACACTAATCTCTTATCCTCATGTATGACACCTCGACGTTTTCTAAACCCTCATACGGATATGCCATGTTGTTTGGCCTCTTCGCCAGGAGCGATTTGGTGATGATCCATCCTCCGAGTAGGGCTGAATTGCGCACATGATGTATATTGCGCAGCAGATTTGAAGGATCGTCTTGCCTGGGTTGACAGGAGGGACTTTGGCCGGTATTTATGTATATGCAATCGATGATGAGGGTCTCGTCGATCGTAAGCGCGAGGCCGTGGACGTCCCTATTCCTTTCTGACAGCCTGTGCTCCCCCTTGACTCATTGCCGTTTACCGCACTGCTACAGGGCATCGACAACTCCGCCTGGGAGGGCACAGACATGGTTCAATCATCTCAGCTCGTCGACAGCTCAAGGGGTCAAGCACAGATGGTTAGCGAAGAAATTTCTCGAATATCTCGGATGCGGGGGATCATCTTCTCACAGGTGCTGGCACTTGTGCACCGCGCGGCGGCAAAGAGTCCATGCTTGCTCATACTCACTTGGCGGGGTTGAAATGATCAGCGACTTCGCGCATTCGGGACGAAGGCAAGATAGCGGCATTGGCGAGGCAGATACGCTGCCAGTGAAGGTATCTCACGGAATTGATCTCGTCTATCGCCTCCAAGCAGAATCTTACGGCGGGCTGCATGGCCTGTCGTCAATACCGCCCGCTGGCCCATCTCGCACACAATCATCGAGCCTTGAGAGAATCGGACTACTCACCAGAAAATAGTACATGCGATGGAGAGACTCTTTGACGATTGTAAGTGGGGTGATCGACGGGCTACGAGCTACGGCCTATCATTTTGCATCCACCTGCGGTACTTGGGGAGCTTTTGCTTCAAGTCTGAGGGCTCATGGTACACTAGACCTAACTGACAAATCACGTGCCTTATAGGAGATAAATCTCGTGATCGGCCAAGTTCGGACGCTCCGTGACAATTTTCTGATCCGTTGCAGAGATCGGACTAGCCATGCCGAGTGCAGAGCAAAGGAAGCGTCAAGTTTGATGAGCAGTAGAGCTGTCAGGTAAAACCTGACAGGGCCATGATTTCAACGATACGCACCAGCCAGTCCCGACAAGCCCCTTCCTTAGCCGCCAGAGGATTAAGGGTTGAGAGACAGCGCGCAGTTGGCCCCAGCCTCCACTCACGATTACCGCCCGGATCAGCAACTCGAGTAGCGTCTGGCGGCTTGGGGCGAAGTTTGGCTAGATCCCGTCGTCAGGTAGGCACCAAGGGGCCAGGATGTTAGGACGAAAGTGCGATGCTATGGCCAGCGACGCCACAGCTAGCGCCGCGCCACGTTGAGTGCATCGAGGCAACGATAAGTCTTGTCTCGAGACTCACCTCGCGCTGACAATAGAATGCGCGGATCTGCCTCTCAGCACACATAACTGAGATCACGATATCGCGCTGACATCTCCTTTCCCATCACTCGCATGCAACCAACCATCTCCAGGTAGAGAAATGCCTGCAACACATGCACATGCAACATTATCCATCAATAGTCTCAAAGTCTAATCGCCTATCCCACCCATGAAATCCATTAGTTAGCATCCTGGCAAATCGAACTTGTCATTCTGCTCACCGAGTCATTGGCCCTCACCAATCAAACAGTTACGCAAGACAACTGCTTATCATCACGCGCTCACGCAGCGGAATCTCCATGAGCGCTGTCCGTCAGTCACACGAAGACGTCGGCCTCTTCTCTCTCCAGCCGCTCCGCCTTTCTTATCCTCGAGTCCCGTTTGCCAGGTTGCCGCGAGAACCATCTTCCGCACGGCCTATGTATCTTCCGGGTCCCCTGTCGGGTTCACGGTTCACCGTAGCATCAGCCCTGGTTATGAGACACCACAGATCACAGCTTGCGGATTCCATCCCTCGCAAGTGTCCATGCCGCCCATGGAGACTGGGCCATAAAAGATTCGCTCTCAGGGATAGGCCCTGCAATTTTCGGATTCATTCTTCCGAACGAGGTCAAATCAACAAAACAATGCGTCTCCGAAGCGTAGGCCAACAGGACTTACTCACCCTTTTTCCTGCCTCGTGGCCCTTGCCCTGTATAAATATAAATCTAGTTGATTTTTGTTTTTTCTCGCTTACTACTTTAGGGCTAGTGGGCCACGGCACAGTGCCCATGATTAGTAGCCCTAGTCACACAGACTGATCCAAGTGCCGTCCCGAGAGCTAGTAGTTTAGCTGTTAGGGCCGTTCGCACAGTATGGGGTAGGCGATTAGTCTTCACGACATGTGGTTCTCAAGCTATCTAGATATTATTCATGGATGGTTATGATAGGTTCTTTGTAACAAAATAGGCCCAGGCTCTGCTTGGAATAGGAAAGTCAGGTGGGATAGTGCCATTACCAAAGATTCTCCCAACAATTGTCAGCTTTAAGTGGTTCAGTGGAATTTGTCATTAACTGACGGTTCTTGAGCTCATACTGTCGAGCATGACGAATACTGCCACAATCGTACGTCTCTTTTCGTAAGAAAGTAGCGGATATCGGGAGACCGTCAGATCTGCTGGCCTCGGGTCAATCTCTTCACAAGCTCTGCTCGAACTTCATCGCACATTTGAATTCCGATGATGGGCATGGCTTCTGATCACTAAGTATGCCTCGCTTCGAAACTCCTCTTGTTGCATGTTGGTTCATGTTCAGGCGACCCCAACTCCCTAAAATCTTTGGATGCTTCCAACATGTCACTAGCTGCTAATCTGGAATACGAACGCCACGGCCGTCCAAGGCCAACTTGGGACTAGCTCTCTCTGCCGCCCAACCAACAAACAGTGTCTGGATAATCATCGACCGCATGGACTAAACTCCTCGAGCTATCCTCCCCAGACGTTTCAGCCTTTGGATCTCGTGGCGAGGAGTCTGGCAGCCAATCAAAATTCTCAAGTCCCGGTGTGGCGGGGGAGGCAAGTTCGAAGTCTAGCCTTCAGCAGTAGCCTTCCGTTTAGTTACCCATCATGGTTCAGTGAACGGCCATAGGTCGGCCCGTCGTCGCCGTTTACGCGTCCAAGCTTGGACTGATTGACCCTTAGAATCGTATGAACATCATCGAGATGTTGCTCTCTCCTCCCGTCCATACGTGGACATGAGCAGCGCCCTTGAGGCCAGAGCGTGAGCACAATGGCTTTGAGTCTTCCCTCTCAGCCCCCCCCCGGGTGCGCGTCATGCTTAAAAATGGGAGCGTAAGCTAGCTGACACGCTCCTCACGCATCTCTCTCGGATTATCTCCCAGCGGAGGTTCGCGTCGGAGAAGTGTCGAATACCGACTTATTTGTTTCGCGGACCTTGTGTTACCAGCTAGTTGCTCAAGGGCTAAAGCTTCACTAGACTTATCGGATTAGTTCAACGGACCTATACTCCATACGCGCTTTACCGACTAGGTGGAAATAAGCAACCTTTCCTACAGCGAACTAGCTACCACCCGGGGGAAGAGGACCCCTCCCCTGCTCAGGCTTCCGTCATCGTGCTTGCAGCCAGCTTCATCTCCCCCTGAATTATATACCAACTTTGCTTGGATACTACCAGGTCCATCCTTAACCAAATACTCGTCATCTCATAATAGCTTGAGCCATCCAAAAATGGATTAGTCGATGGCTCGAATAATCACCCCGGTAAATTTCCCTTGTGTAGCAACGAACTCATTGAATGTCTGTCTCTGGCAAAAGGGGGCAGCGGAGATGTTAGCAGAATAAGGGTTTCAAGTGTACAAGAGGTATATGTTTGGCTGGATATATTACCCTCGACTTGTTTATGATCATTCACCTATCATTGCCCAGGATTCAAGACGAACTTCCTCTCACTCTCTTACTCCTCCTCCTACCTTGAGGGTCTCCCAGTCGCCTCGACTGCTCAAAGTCTTCGTTCACACCTAGCCTTCCATTTAATCGCTACGCTTAAGTCTTGTGAGAAGGATTGCTAAGCATCGGAGGACTTGTGTAGATTCGTAACGCTCAAAACATCATCCTCACTATCGCTTCCCTCAGCTAGGCGTATTCGCACCATTCCCGCTCCCCCGTTGATCGACAGAGACTGCCGAGAGGTGCTTTGGCGTTCTCGAGACTTTGACGGTTAACCCCTTGGATACTAGCAAGAGCACTATTTAGTGATAAGAGTTCTCATCGTTGATCTCTCTACCCGAAGCTTTCATTCGCGACCCCCCTCTCCCCGTCTGACTGCTCCTGAATAGTGCAGTGCAGGGCAGTGCAGTGCAGGGCCATTCCAGTAAGACTCGAGGACGACTACTGCACTCAGTATCTAGGAGAGACCCTGCTTATTGCGACGGACGACAACACTGCTAGGAGAGTCAACACCATACGTCAATTCTGAATAATTGGTCGGGGTACGGAATCCAAAAGCACTGCAGCTAAGGCCCTAACTGCAGTTCTCAAGCCTTTCCTACCTTGTCTTCAATATCCCACCCACTACTATCACCCAATTCTCCCACCCCCCTGGTCCGATTATTGGAATTACTTTGTAGCACCTGTTTGTCCGTCTTGATCGATTCTCCCCTTATCCCCTCAAGGACCCAGGGAAGACTCCCCCACCTCCACTTCGAGCCCCGGTTCATAATAAGCCCCTCTGGAACTCACACACATAAGAACGCTGATCCCCCAGTAGGCATTAAGATCTTCACCAAAATCTATCAAAAATCGCCCGGAGTCAAAGTGACACGACCTCTTACGGGATCCTGCATTTGATCCACATAATTGAAGCTATCACCGACACTTCAAGACAAGCGATTTCGAGGATAGCGACATCTTTGGAGTGAGCAGTGTTTACAACATGACTATGGCAATAGAGAATCAGCAACGCTTCGGCGGTGGCCTTCCTTTCGACCATTTGCCCTTTGCCAACCCATCTCAGTTTAGTAATCCATGGTCATCGACGTCGTCGCCATCACATAGCCTCTTCAACCCACAACACAACATCAACTCCACCTTGGGCCTCGATGTGAAGCCACCGCCACCTCAACGTCGCTTGAATGGCAATGTGCCTATGAATTCGTTTACAAACGTGCCGATATCTGGACCTTCAGCCGGGACCTCGCTTGAAGCGTACGCACCACACCACCTTCTCACGGCGCCTCATGATATGCTTAACAATAATCGAGCCGTATCAACTGGATTCGAACCCTCTTATTCCTCCAATCAATCCCCCATTCAACACTCATTTTCCCCGAATCCAGCCACATCCTATGAATCGTTGGGCTACGTGCCGGGGCCGGTACGCTCTTCTTACGCCATTCAGTCAGATAATTCACGACGTTTATCTCAGCCATCTGTCAATCACAACGCCGTTGATAATTCAGAGGACTTGAGGCATTCGCACCGACTCAATTCGCCCATTGATTTCCAACAACATCGAAACTTGCCCAACGAGCCTCGGGCATTTGGTGATGCCATGGATGCCAGCCGTGGTATGATTGCCATGAGCCAAAATTCAAGTGCGCGAGAAGCTTACGAGCAATCAAATCGAATGCGGGGATCAGGTGATTCTTATGGTTTCCCTACGCCGGCGAATAACTCGGCTAGCTCAATGTCATCGGCTGGGCCGTATCCAGCATATTTTGGGGGATCAGTCGATAGTAGTGTGAGTGAGTATTCAAACAATGGCTTACCCGCCAACCCCTCGGAAATAGACACTGTCGCCTCAAGAACTCTTCCACGACCATCGAATCTCCTAGGCGGTGTCGGCGGCATCCCTCCTGCCCCACAATCTATGATGGGACAGTTTAGTTCCAAGGTTTCATCTAGTACGCAGAAGAAGCATAAGTGTAAAGTATGCGATAAACGATTCACTCGACCAAGCTCACTGCAGACACACATGTACAGTCACACGGGGGAAAAGCGTAAGTGAGACAAATTTTTCATTGGACTCGCGCTAATTTCTCGCAGCTTTTTCGTGCGAAGTTGAAGGTTGTGGTCGCCATTTCTCCGTCGTCTCAAATTTGCGTCGACATCGAAAAGTACACAAGGGCGAGGCTCGATCCGAGGCCGGTTCAGAGGAACACCAGTCCGACGAATGAATCGTCTCATCTATATACGATCTGATTCCAACTACCGTATGCGGGAAACTGATCTGGTTAGCGGCCTTACCGTCCTAGCCTCCCATAAAAATTTATGCATTATATCTAGTTGCTGTCATCTATGCCACACCATAGCTTATTCGACAAATTCACCATATATTTCCTACACACCCGCCGATAATAACTTGAAATCAAACGAGAGAGCAGCATTAATACGCAAGGAGCGAATTTTAGGTCGAGCATACCCGGCGTTGGGAGAAGAGAGGGCTGGTTCAGGACTGGGGAGCTGGGCTTTGTTATTTCGTTTTGATATTTTTCCAATTGATAGGTAAGGCTTATTGCGAGCGGACAACGAGCTGGGGTCAATGACTGTCTACTTGGAGTGCCGCGTCCTCTCCATATGCTACCAGCTCGTGGGTGGGAGACAAGCTCGAGCCTTGACCTAAGAGGCATGCTCGCAACTCGTACCGAGGGCTAGAGATCGTTGAAACCTGCATGTTGGGTATTGCATTAGTCAAGAGAACGAGTGTCGCTTTCTACATCATTCTTGCCAGTGTGCTGTGTGGTGTTAGCTGCGCAACCAACTATGCGTATCGCACCCCTTTTCCCCCGATTACAACATTATCCGCGCTCTATGATTTCGTGCCGATATTGTAGAGATTTGCCGATCCGCTGCTGGTTCCTTTTAGATCAAATACCCGATATTCCGTAGCCGGGATCTCAATATACCTACCGCGCCCACTCGGCTCTGTTTCCAGTGAGATTAAGCCGGATATTCTGATCCTAAATCGCGAGTGCGATGTGTGAGGGCCGTAAGGGTAGCCTTTCCGAGCCCGACAGCCGACTCGGATCCGCCAAAGCTTGAAAGAGCGGCGATGCGGGGCGAGGCGCAGCGTGGACGGGACTCGACCGCCTCGCCCATTTCTGGACTGGAGGCGCTCTGTGCAACAACGCGGCTTTAGGCCAACCACGCAAGGCTGGACCAGGTTAGGGCCGATGTGTGAGGCTTCCGGTCGTGTGACGCGGCGACGAGGCCTCAAAGCGCTGTAGACACGCGGCCGGCCGGCCAGCATGCTAGGGCCCTTGAAAGTCTAGTGGCAGAGCTCGGATAGCCGCCTTCATGCATCGATGTCCGGCCGGCTGACGCGACGCAGTAACGGTCGAGTGTGGCCTTGCCGTCCTTTACCTCATCACACACCGTGATGCGGCGCCGTGTCCATCTCTTCGCATCTCTGCGCCCGGCCTCGAGGAGCAATGCAGTCTGACTGTCATGCTACTCGCCATCAGTCGCCTGCAGCGTCGCCTCGTTAAGGGCAGTGCAAGAGACATAATGCGCAGGGACCTTGGCCTGCCATCGCTCAGCCTCGAGCACCTCGACCTGTCCTGGACGGAATTTATCGAGGTTCCGCGGGCGAAGTAGCCTGCCGGACAAGGCGGGAGGGCAGTAGATTGGTATGGCACATAGCCCTCCATCCTCGATGACGGGGAAAAGGCTACCACACTAGCCAATCCATTTGTATCGGGCAGTATAGTACATGCTCAATGTGTAGATACCCCCTTCGCCTTTAATTAGGCGCGAGGGCAGCCTGGTAGGATCAGGGCGTGAAGCTCGTCTTGTCACATACCTGTCGCCCTCTCTCTATGCTTACGCTCCTCTCATTGGGGGAAAAGGAGGCCTTTCGATCAATTACCTGATCACTGCTGATCCCTTGCCACGCGAAACGAGCCGTAGTCACATGTTATGAGGTAATGAGCAATAGGCGAGCTCCACCGCACATGTTTTCTTTATTTTCTCGTCTGTAGTCCAGAGGCAGTGGTCAAGATGACTCCAGTGCTGAATGGACTGGGGCTCTCGACTCTAGTTACTCTGCGTTTTAAGAGCGGCACGCCTCTGAACTCTCTTTACTTAGACCCAGAGTCACCTGCAACGCTAGGTGGTTTAGCGCCTTGCCCCCAAAGGACCTCAACGTTATTGCAGACAACTACACTCCCATCGCAGTGCCGTGAAAGCACTCCGGGCGATTCTTTCTTCGAATTGCGAAAATATTTGTGCTAGATGCCCGTGAGGTCCTCATGCGGTCTGGCCACTGCGATTACTGAGTGCGTCCAGTGGAATAGAGTTATCAGTCGAGTGACCAGACAAATGCCGCAATTTCACAGCCATTAATCTCGGTACTCCTTGACCAATATTGAGCATGCTCTTTCCATTCTCTCTGCAAGTTACCGCGCCAAAACTAAGAGCACGTGCTTTACACGTGCCCTCAACTTATGAGATGGAAGGAAACTCTGCCGTCTCGTGCCAATCTAGTGCGACTCTATCATTCGGCCTGGGAAAAGGCGCAGGGCTCTTTAAGTCAATTTCTGTTTATGTTTTCTGCCTATAGATCTGTCAAGCATACTATACAACAAGGTTGTTATCAGTCCTTAACGATCTTAGACCCGTATCATGCCTAATGAGTGAAGGGTGTAAGCCTAATACGACAAGTGTTCAAATCAAAATTTTCGTTCGGCTTTCGGAGGAGAAAATGTTCGCACAACGCTGGAATTGGACCTTGCTCGTTCTCAACTTCTACAATACTATGATAAATAGGTCTCATATCCTTTTGGGTTGGATTCATATTGGAGCAAAAATCAAACTAGACTGACCTTAGCTGTGGACGTTGATTAAATCAACTCTTAACTTAACATTATAGATATAGGCTTGAGGTTTTTCTATCTCGATAGCGAGAGTAGACTTTTTTCGGCCGGCGATACGAATTCTAAATATTACATAGGTCTTCTGCCAACCTATCGATACTTTATGGAATGTCGGAATATAGAGATTACTCAAATAATACCAGCCGAAACTTCTAATCTCAGATAGAATGGCCAATCGTTCGATGTTAGTCTCATTAATCCGGAGATAATATTGAATTCACCATTATTTCAATATATGAGCTTTGGTCGGTATTCAACAGATGGATTCCTCGACGCTAAATGTTCATGGACCAGTATCCTATCTAATGTATTTGAACGATCGAACAGTTTTTCAGCTGAATTTCCTGGAACTACATAGCCCTGGACTTGTAGTCTTATAATTCCTTGTACAATCATTTCGAGTCTCCAGTTAATACGTCACCATACCATTAATGAGCAAGAATTTTTTTTTGATGGGTATGGATCAAATTGTTTCATGGTATGCCAAAGCACTGGTTACTGTGCGAGACTGCTGCGCAGCATCCCAACTCGGGCAGATAAGTTATAGCTTTTCATTGTCAGCATTTTTGCAGCTAGGAATGTAGTGACTGTCATTAGTAATGAGAATTTAATGGCCCTGATTGTCCCCGGGCTTACTTAATTATTAGACTGGTGCCGAAATGATCCAAGTTATAGTTGTGAGCCCATAACCATAACAGATGGGAAAGACAAAGGTATGCGCATGGGATCACGGTTCAATCTTGGTAGAAGAGGGGACGGAAATCAATTGAAATGGCATTTCCTATTTATATGACTGGGACCCACTCACACTAGTCAGACAATATCTTACTACCTCCTTCAATCCCTTCCCTACTAGAGGCTTGGAAATGCCACACACGCTTCTCAATCAGCCTACGGCTATTCATCTCAGTTTAGCTCATTTTAGCACTACCAATACCGCGGAGGGCAAAGACTGAACATCTATCCGCGATGTCCTCTTGAACCTGTGGGTGAAATATTCTCCCAGTGCCAAGATCAGTCAAATTCCGCAATACCGGACAAGTTTGCCAATGAGGCAATGACTACCTACTCCTAACCAAATCAATATCTCTCTACTAACGACGTCGATTCCGGCCAAAGCCTCATCAAGTCATCGAGTACGACTTAGTTTGTCCTCCTCCATAGGACCACATCTCTCATTAAATTAGTCTCTGGTCTCGAATAGCCTCCACATACATGCACATAAGAGTTTGGATAGCCGACGGAGGGGACAAATTGTGGTACAAAAATCTGAGAGGCAGATTTTTGGGATGAACATGAGAGAGATCAGAACAAGTGGATAAGATGATGTAAACGCTGGATACAGCCTCAAAAGGCGTAGGATTTCGAATTTTGACTAGGAATTTTTCAAATTGAGCATTGTGTGCTGCAAGAGTACAGGTGACAACATAAAGACCGCAATGGTTAGATGGTGCGGTAGTACACTATCTTGCCCGAACTCGATAGTAGATCTGGGATAACATTGACACACATCCCACTTAAGACAGGAGAAAGCTGCCTTAGATCCAGTAAGACCCACACACCAAATTCCTCGCGCAGCTAATATGCAAGAGTGGCGAATTTATGCTTGGATAATCAAAGGGTTTAAATTTCCCTTTGGTAGGTACTACGGAGGAGGGTCGACTATTCTGCATAAGCGAACATACCTCATAGCGGTATTTGTAGATGAAATTAAGAGTATGAGTGTCTCTAATGTGAATAGAGTCACTTAACGTGTATACATAGCACCAGCCATGTGTCAAAGCTAGACAGCTGAGCACATGTTAAATGATAAAAAAGCTAATACGGCTCAGTAGATATGATGGGAGCATCGTAACTCACCATTCTTCGGCCCTCTTTGAAATCGTTTAATTTTTTTACAGTTGCAAGGATGTGAGACTTGATCATTATCTAGTCTTTGTTATAAAGGATTCCCGACTTCAGAGGCTCATAGTTTAAATATTATTCGCATATACCGCAATGGCGGACACTTGTTACCTTCTTCAGTCGAACCTTCTGTATGAATACTTCTTAAAGGATGGTTAAAAGCCTCTGGTTTTCAAAATATGCCTTCATAATCCTGCACACGAGCACTGCCAGAAATGGGGTTAAATCTTAGTGTGTTATGTACCGCTGTAATATTCAGCCACATCTTTGTTTTTACTTTCGACCTTCATCTCACTGATGATGTCCTGGTGCATACAACGATCTTCAATGCGAATTATAGCTTCCACAAATAATATTGGTCCAGATATTTCTCACGCCTATCCCAAGAGTCTATCTCA